ACACACACACACACACACACACATACGTATATATTATATAATAATATATCAGTGTGTATAATTTATATTTTAATGTTCATATAACCTGCATTTTACAGTCTATTACAGTTGTATAATATGATGATCTCCCCTGCACTGCATCGTCCTGAACATCAGTAAGATAATGATGAACTCACCTGTATTGTATCGGACGTATATCAGTACGGAAATGATGAAATATAATCTAATATAATTTGATAGTAATATTTCAGCTGTATTGCCGTATGGTTCAGAGATATGGAATACAAACAAAACATTTCAATGAGAATTGAAAATCGTCCAAACAAAATGTTTACGAAGAATTCTATTAATCAAATTGAATTAATTTATTACAAATGAAGTGTTGGAAAGAGCTGGAGCTGAAGATATTAACACAAACATAAAAATGAGAAGATGGAGATGCCTAGGATATGTTCTAAGAATGCCGGAAACAAGATTGTCCTACCACACATGGTATTGGAAACCAAATGGAAAGAGAAAAAAAGGAAGACCAAGTGGGAGCTATAGAGACTGAATAAGGCATGAGGAAATCAACCAGGGCCTGGATGTGCCGAAATTGGAGGACGTGGCCAGGGACAGGCAAGCGTGACCTCGAGTGCTCTCAGCTTTATGTACCTGCTGACAGTATAGGGAGAGAGTAAGTAAGATAATGATGAACTCACCAGTATCACGATCCAGCCGCCATTGTCAGTAACGGTGTCGCAGACAACTTTCAGATAGTTTCTGAGAGAGACCACAGGTCGGGGGCCTAGACCTTGAACATCAGCGCACGACTCAGGCTGATGAAGAGAAATCCACAGAGAACGAGTTTGAACGACCGGTGTTGGAAATAGGGAGGGGAATTTGGTTTGGCTGCGACTTGACGTCAGACGTGGGGAAAGAGTTGTTTGTTTTAGTAAAGTTTTACGGCACTCGCAACTGCATACGGTCATATGAGCGCTAAGGGGTGGATGTCAACAGAGAAGACTAAACGGAGAATCAGGCTTATTCTGCTCAAGCCTCTAGCTTCAAACTTCAACATCACAAAGTCTGCTTCGACTATCAAGTAGTATCAAGGCACCCCGGAAATAACAGTTCACAAGAGAGTGACAAACACACAAAAGAAGTAGAGGAAAAATGATAAGAGTAATAGTAATATGAGGAAAGAAAAAGCAGCAGTTCCCCCTATGTTGTTCCGGCACAGTATGAGCATGGCATTGATAAATCAGCCCGTTTACAATACCACTGTGCATAAGAACATGTTAATGTATCCCCCTTTGGCAATGGCCTAAAACACTTCAGTCAGTAGGCTGCCCTGAGGGGG